ATATCATCGAACAAACCAGTCTTTGAATTTGATTTTGTTGACAAAGTTTTTTAAAATAATAAATGGTTGATTTATGTTTCTTTGATTTCTTTCATTTGCAGGTACATATAATATATGAATAAAGAAGGATCGATACACTTGAAGATGAAAACCAAGCGAAAGTTGGTCATGACATTGAACCAATATTGTTCTAATTTTGTTTTACTACACTACACCTTGAGTTTCTAAGTGGACTATATTGATCTTTATTTTTTAGGCTATTTTCTATTTGTTTATTTTGCATGAAAATAACTAGATGAGAATTTAATACTAAAATAAATACTTAAATTATCTAATACCTTGAGATTTTGTACCAATAAAAACTTAAAATGCTATGTTACTTAGACCTCACAACAGTAGCAGTTTTGTATAATGAGTTATACTTTTTGATTGGCTATTGTTTTGCATATGTGAATTATTTATACAAATCAAGTTAACTTGTGAATTTATTGGATATTTAAAAAATATATTTGTTTTAGGAGACAAAGTTTGCATTAATGGTTTTTCAAATTCCATATCATTGCAGATAATTTTCACTATCTGCGTCAGAAGATAAATAAATTTTGAATTTTTGAATCATATGATTTGCGGATTTCATTTCACTATTTGATTTGTTTTGCATATAATGTTTTAGTAGTTTTTTGGGTGGACAAAAACATTTTTCTCATGGTTAACTGATTGAAAAAATTTCAAACTATCTCTAAGCAAAATAGTGGAGCCTTATTTTGGTGATCTATGTATATTAAACGGAGAACTATACTTAAGATATGCTATCGAAATAAAATGTTGTATTTAAAGAAGTGTGGTTCATTTTCTCTACTTATTAATTTATCATTAAATTGGATGATAATATGTGACCGTGTTTATGATGTGTAACTGCTACAACAAATATTTTCTCCATGAGAGAGGGTTAGGTTCAAGTGAGTGGATAAAAAATAAGGTTAATCTCATTTTGCACTCTGAAAGATTGTTCGAATCTCAATTTACATCCTCAAAGAACAAAAATCTCAATTTGCACTCTCAAATAGCAAAAATCTCAATTTGCACCCTCAAAGATAGAAATTTGTATCAATGTGCACCTCCAAAGATCAAAAATCTCAATTTGCACCCTCAAAGATAGAAATTTATATCAATGTGCATCCCAAAAATAAAAATTCTCTATTTGCACTTTCAAAAATAGAAATTTGTATCATTATGCACCTAAAACTAAATTAATAAATTATATCTATATCCCCTCATGACGTTTGTATATGTGTAGGTAATATTTTAAATGTGAAGGAGTTCAAATGATTAAGTGACAAACATGAGGGGATCTAGGTATAATTTATCAATTTAGTTTTAGATGCACATTGATACAGATTTCTATCTTTGATGGTGTAAATTGAAATTTTTTATTTTTAGAGGTGCACATTGATACAAATTTCTATCATTAATGGTATAAATTGAGATTTTTAATCTTTAAAAGTACAAATTGAGATTCGAACGATCTTTCGGAGTACAAAATGAGATTAACTCAAAAATTTGTACCGTAATGAACTAATGATCTAGGACTCAAATTACATCTTTCCTTTTCTTTTTTAGTTATTTTTTATGACAATGACGTTTGGACCTCTAAAAACATCAAATTCCAAACGCCCCTCCCACCCCCCCCCCCAAAAAAAAAAAAAAAAAATTTGTAGCCCATACAAGACCAAGTACTACTCGCGACAGACCAGAAACAATTTTTTTTCAATTACACACTCTTTAGTTTATCATATGTTTAAAGATATTCCTTTTATTTTTTGAATCTTTACTAATACCTCATGTCAAAATAAAAATTTTAACTATAATTCAATTTTACTAAATTACCCATTATATATTTGAAAACAAACTTCATCCATATCCCCTTAGATAAGCATATCTTCAATAAGAACCCATTTATTTTCTAATTTTTTTCAAGTATTAAAATTCGAGTCAGTTAAATTCGATTCGATTTAATTAAAATTTATTTTTTACGTACTAAACTTCAAGTTGATTAAAAATAATATTTTTTTATGTATTAAAATTTGAACTGATTATAATTCTATTTGAGCCGAATAAAAATCAATTTGTTCAAATCAAATTTAATTAACTTGTATTGAATTTTAATTGGTCTAAATTTTAATATATATAAAATGTATATTTTAATTGACTTAAATTTTAATGAAAGAATTTTTAATTATAATTGACAAGAATTTTAATAAGTAAAAAAATATGAATTTTAATTGGCTCGAAGTGAATTTTAATCAGCACTAATAACTCAAGTAGAGTTCAAATTGACTCAAATTTTAATAAAAAGGAATTTTAACAGGCTCAAATTTTAATACGTAAAAAAAAATAAAACCAGCTCGAATCGAATTTTAACCGATTCAAATTTTAATATGTAGAAAAATAAATTTTAATCAACTCGAATTTTAATATATAGAAAAATAAATTTTAATCGGATAAAATTTTAATTAAATTTTATGTAGAAAAATTATTTGGAGTTTATGTAGGATCATTTTTGATATTTTAGATGAATTATTTTTGTTAAAAATGATAGTTTAATGGCAATAGGTGTCAGTGATGTTTAAATATAACTAAAAAGGGAAGTTAGTGATATTTTTTTATGATAAAATGGATGTCTTTGAAAATATAGTAACTTAGAAGAAGTGTGACTAAAATTTCTGCTTTTTTCTTATTAAACTCGACCGAAGTCTATTTAGACAATACTCTCGAACTTTATTAGAATAAGCAAACAAAATTTATTACTGTAAGTCTGTCGCATCTTTCATTATTAAGGTATGAACTTATACGGTGGTTACACTCTGAATACATCTACTGCGCAAAGCAACCAAAGACAAAAAGTTAATGGGAGATTTACTCTACATCACTTAAAATTTGTCACTTAATCACTTAGATTCTCTAACATTTAAAAAATTACATACAAACTCCTTAAAGTTTGTACACACGTAATAGTTAGAACTTACTGTAAATATATCCTTTAATAAATTGCACTTAAACTCCCTTAAAATTTGTAGGTATATATACTTAGACTAAAAATACTCTAATCAAAGATAAAATATCAAATATTTTAAATCTTACAATTAAAATTCTTATTCTATTGTATCATTTATTAAAATAAAATTAAAATTAAAAATTTAATTTTTTCTTAAAAAATTGTAATTAATATATAACTATACTATCTATTGGAATAAAACTAAAAAAATCAAATAAGAGGTCTAAGTCATTCATAATAGAACATAAATTTTTCATCCAAAATTCATGTTTTATTATATCATTTATTGAAATAAAATCAAAAATAAAAATTTAGTTTTTTTAAAAAAAATCAAAATTAATATATTAATTTATTGTATACTAATTAAGATTTTTTTAAGAAAAAATTGAATATTTATTTTTGATTTTATTTCAATAAAAGATAAATATAACATGAATTTTAATTGTAAAATTTAAAATATTTGATATTTTATCTTTGATTGAAATATTTTTGGTCTAACTATAATATTTTAAACTTAAGGAATCTAAATATTATATACCTATAAACTTCAAGGGAGTGTAAGTGTAATTTATTAATAGATATATTTATAAAAGGGGTCTAAGTGTTATGTGCGTACAAATTTCAGGGAGTTTGTGTGTAATATTTTAAATGCTAGTGGGTCTGAGTGATTAAGTGATAAATCTCAAAGGATCTAAATATAATTCTCCCAAAGTTAATTCTCGTCGATGGCAATAAATAATATACTTCTGGTGTCCATTTCCATGGGATTTAATTATGTTTCATTTTGGACATTTTTTCATCTTTTCATGAGTGTGTTTCTTCTCTGCTATAGACACATTATTTTGAATTATAGTATTTGATTATTTATTAGAATAATGATCTTTTCGTGTATATTAAATAAAAAATAAAAATATATTCATATATATTTTTACTAACTTTCCAACCGAGGACTTCAATTATTTGTAATAGCATTTTTAATCCAATTTTCAAGCACTAGCCCATCATTTCTAAGATTATCAGTGAATTACGTGTGTGTTGTACATAAATAGATTTGAATGATAATTTTTTTTATTGAATTTATAAAAAGAAAATGAAGCATAAAAAAATTATACATGCTAAATCTACATATTTCAATTTAGAAGGGGAGTGTTATTTTAAAGTGATATTTTTGTCATTTTGAATGATTAAATTGTAATATTGTTATTTTAATAATTTAATAAAAAATTATTATTTTAAATCCCTAAAGCTAACCACACGTTAAGAATTAGAATAATCAAAACAAACTAAGCACAAATAATTCAGACGACAAAAATTTAACAATTAGTAAATCGAGATTCCAAGCCCAGATCTCATAAGAAATACACTAATCGACTCAATACACATAATTTTTAAATAATTATGCATATCTCTAATTTGTATAATAGCTACAAGCTTAGAAAATATATAATCCAAGGGGGTTTTGGTCCAAATATATATATGGAATGATATGTTAATATGACATGAATATGATACAAAATTATAACGTTTGCGTATTTTATTAAGCTATTTGTTTCATAAACGAATACACTCAGTATGACACGATTAATAAATGAATTGAGTATGAGTGAAATTAATTAATAAAAATATACAATATGACTTATTTATATATTAATTATATATGATTCTTACACAATACAATTCGCTGTGACACAATTCATTATATACAAATTATTAAATGAATTAAATATGAGTGAAATATTTTTTGATACAAATCTGTTAACACCCGATACGAATTTGCTTCATGCAACACCATTGACTGAACTAGTTCTCACTAAACAAAATTGGAAGTAATAATTAAAAAAAATTAGACTATATGTCAAACAAATTACAATCAAGGGTATTTTAGTCATTGTGAGATATAGGGTTCCGAGTATAAAATCTTCCCTAGGTGACCTCGACTATGCCCGCTGCATCGTAGTGCTTCTGCCGAGCCGAGCTTCTCCTACACACTTCTTCTAGCTCTTGGACTCGCCATTGTTCACACACGGCTCTCAACCATGGCTGAACAGGTAAACCCTTTCCTGTCTGTCTGTCTCTCTATTTGGGGGGATATGTGGATTCATATGGGTTAGATCTTTATCGGATTTCTTTGTGTTTCAGACTGAGAAGGCATTCTTGAAGCAGCCCAAGGTTTTCCTCAGGTAAGATATACACAGCTAACTCCGTTTACAAATACAAAATAATCGAATATATGTGTTTGTGTACGAGATCAATGTGGTGGAACACTTTGGTGTGCAGCTCGAAGAAGTCAGGGAAGGGAAAGAGGCCTGGAAAGGGAGGGAATCGGTACTGGAAGAGTATTGGATTAGGCTTCAAAACTCCAAGAGAGGCCATCGAAGGTTAGAAATCTAATTATATTCTGAAAGAACTAATATTTAATTGAATATAATTCCTGTTTTAATTTCTCATGAATGGGTTGATTTGGTTATGTTTGTGGATGGGTTTTGATGCCTACTTGATTGTTTATATGGTGTAACTAGTATAAATGGATGTGAGAGATGGATGTGCAGTCTGTGGGCCGTACTTCTGTTCAAAGTGCATTGGTTTTCACTTTGTGGATGTAAATTGAATACTGAGTAAGCGCGGGCATGTGGTTTGATATACATGGGAACTATGTTATGTTTCTTGTTTGAAATAGAACAATAATTCTGACATGTTGAATTTGGATTTGATTTCTCAAAAATTATGTTGTGGAGGTTGGACTTGACCACTATTAATCAACATGAAATGCTATGCCCTGCCTTTGTATACTGATTTATTTGTGAAGCTTATAATTTGTTTTGGCTTAAGGTGACATACAGAGCATAGCATTTATCATAATAGATCCATATGCACCTCTACGAAAGAATAAAAGAATACATCCTTGGAGAAAAATATCATAGAGTGGCAATGATCAGAGGACAAAAAATGCTGGGATGCATCTTTTTGTTTAAATCAAACCTTTATTTCTATATAGCAAGGAATTTATCGTGGGCAGTGCAATGAGATTTGAAGAACTAATCGTGCCTTTACATGTGTTCCGGGGAACATAGGCCGACTGCTATTTATATGTGTATGCTATTTATTTTTTGTATAAGTTTCTAGTCATGAGAGATGATGTTCCATCTTGTGTGTGTGATTTACGTGCTTCCAAATATGTCAAGAATACGTTTTTTACATGATATGCATGTCAATATTAGAGGTGTGCACTGCTAGGAAGCACAAATATGAGATACGGGTATGACATGATAATGATATGATGATAGTTCAAAATTTAAAAGTATGATATGAATACGATTAGAATACGCCTTGATTAAGAGATAAAATACGTCCCAAACTAGAACAATTTATTTTTTTTACATAGGAACTGCTTAATGTTTTTTGAATACAATGTTTTTTATGATTCTAAAGCTAAACATGTGTCTCCCTTGGAAATTCTTCGACATTATACTTAGCATTTAATTGCAATAGACTTCATTACCATTAACATAAGTCATAAAAGCTCATTACTCGAGCCAAGTAAATTGTAAAGAATTGACAAATATTGTCACATGTGATGCTGTGCAAATGAACATCTTGGAATAAAGAATCTCTATTTTTATGATCCATGGTATCTACACAACCCATCTCACTAAGTATAAGAAAAATATATTCACCGTGGAGATATGCGTATCCAAGTTGTATTTGATAAGTATCTAACAATGACACATAATTTATTAATTATTTGATACATGGGAAAATATTCAATAGGTATTCACGAGTATCCAAAGAATATCAGTATTCAATATGTATTAGATATATAGCTGTTAAATCGCGATTCGTATCATGAATTGAAATCCAAAATCTGAGAATCGTGAATCGTAAAATTCAACATAAAATTTAAATAAAAAAAAATACTATATATTTAAAATAGACAAAATATTGAATATTGAACATCATTGCATTCTAAAAATAATCAATTGGCATAATCACGTCGTTTAAATGGAAAGACGCTAACCTTTTGTTTCATTTTCATTTTTTTGTTTAACCATTTTTAAATTCAACAACTTGAAAAAAAAAAATTCATTAAAGAACCATGACTATTCAAGAACCAAAACAATGACACCCAATATAGATTAGGTTACAAACATGAATAAAAAATAAAAAAAATTTGATTGAAGAGAGAAAATTGATTGAGAGTAAACATATTGGCTAACATTTTTAAACAAAAAAATTAGAATATAACAAATTACCTATGAAAGAATTGAGACCAAACAATAACCAATGATGCGAGAGTGTTAGCTGTGACTTTTAGTGTTTAGACAACACAAGGCGAGTTTTAGACGATGTCAGAGAGAACAAGCAGATAGGTTGAGTTTTTATTAGGGCGTGGGTTCTTCTGCAAGCAAAACGACGTCGTTTTACTGTTTAGCGAACAAAACGACGTCGATTTTGCCAAAAAATTGGGTTTTTAAAAAAAAGTGATTGAATCATACAAATCGAATCGTGAATCGTACAATTTTGATAACTATGATTGAATACATATATGTCACCTCAATCAAAACATCCGTGCTCATAAGTGTACTGGGGATGCTTGAAGAAGTCTAGTTTCAATTAGGAGCTTAGACTCCCTTAAATTTCTTGGTCGTGAAGAGTGCAAGGTCCACAAGTTGTACACTTGACCAAGAGCTTTATCATTCTTGATGTGTTATTTCCTCTATAAAACCCAAACCAGATGATCTATCAGTTGAGAAAATGTTCCAATGCTATTGCTTATCATTTGGGTGTTGGTGGTTATATACATGTATTAAATTCAAAATATGGTTATTTCTATGAGCCTGTCCTACTGGTATAAAAGTGTTTATTGGAAGTTTGATATGAAACAATGGCAAATGATGTCTGAATATTATATTGCATTTCATTGGTCATTTATTCTTTGTGGGTTCTTATCTTCTTGTTGGAAATGAGTGGTTATAAGGGCAACTTATATCTAATCGAGTGTCTTTTGGATTAGAAGTAAAGTACTTATAGGTGTTTGTACTGTCCAATTGCAGGAACTTATATTGATAAGAAATGTCCATTCACCGGCAATGTTTCGGTCAGGGGTCGTATACTTGCTGGTACATGCCATAGTGCCAAGATGACGAGAACAATCATTGTTCGACGCAACTACCTGCATTTTGTCAAGAAATATCAGAGGCAAGAATTAAACCTTCACTCATTGTGGCTGTCTTCTCTTTATTCTTTAAGGATTGAATACGAAGGGTTGTAATTACTTTCAGGTACGAGAAAAGGCATTCAAATATTCCAGCTCACGTTTCCCCATGCTTCCGTGTGAAAGAAGGAGACCATGTTATCATTGGCCAGTGCAGGTTTGAACTGACTCCCATTTTATCCTCGGCAATGATTTTGTAGGAAATGTTGCCATCTATTAACTATGCATATATATATGTTTCCTGGTAGGCCATTGTCAAAAACAGTGAGGTTCAACGTGTTGAAAGTGATTCCAGCTGGGTCTTCTGGTGGTGGAAAGAAGGCCTTCACAGGGATGTGATTTGAGTGACTCAATCTTCTTCATTACGTTGCAATATTTGGAAGACAACTCTGTTAGGTTGTCCTACTTTGGTTGGGTGAACTTTATTTGAACTTGATGAATTAATTTTTTCCAGAGTGTAGTTTTAATCAAGTTCAGAACGATGTGACACTGTTCCTATGACCAAGTGTTTACTCAGTTGGAAACTTAGTTGATCTTGATCTGGATCTCCCAGCATTTATCTTTTTTGTTCTTTCCTTTTCCCTTCCCCAGCTAGGTGCTGGACATCCTGTTATGAAGCAGATAATTAAACCATGCCCAATGATATGCTAATTTGTCCCGCCATGGGCCTTCCATTCAATGCTTGTGGCTCAAAATGGATGTGGAATGATATGTTCCCTCTTAATGTAGATGGAAAGTTTATGTTTGGCAAGGATCATTGAAGGTTCCTTCACTCTTGAATGGGAGATCTGACAGTTGTTGAGAACTATACATTTTATAATGGGAGGTTTTACAAAGCTATTGAAGATTATCCATGTAGTTTGTTTACTGGCCAAGAATAAAGACTACTTGTCACAGAAGAAACTAGTGACTAAATTGTGACCTTTACACATTTGTGTTCCCAAAATGAAACTAACTGGATCAGTTAGTGGCCCTGTCTTATTGAGCAGAAGTCTCTCCCCCTTCTCTCTTCGGTTTATAATAGCATTAACTCCAATATGGGGCTCTTTAATGGGTTAGGAGTTGCGTACTTCATGTGATTGCCCCTTGAGCTCTGTTTATAGGCATGTGGAATTAGCTTCCTCTTTGGGTGGACTAATGTTCCTCTAGGAGTGGATTATAGGCTCATTTTTCGTTTCAAGAAGATGCTATTAAATATTCCAACTAACAGGAACTCTATAACTTTCGTGTTTTGATCCTTACTTATCCATAATCTTTCATTCTTATACCCTTACCAATTTTTGTTTTTCGGCTAGATAAAAAGGGTTGGTTGGGGGCGACTGGAGTGGAAATTCTGCCTGGTGTGACCATTTCAGCCGAACCCACTGTGGTAGTCCTCTAAAAGGCCTAGACGGTTGGCTTCACCGGTGCTCCCTAAGAATAATTAAAGTCCCCGCTAAACCGCAAGTAGAAAGTCAACGGTCTATTTTCCAGAAATTAAACTTGAATGATCATTATCAAAACAACCTTTACAGGGTGGCAAGCCATCGATCTTGGTGGTCTCTTATGAGGATTTAGTCATTCGGGATATAGTTAATTATCAGGTCAGAGATGCTTAGGGAGTCGGAGCTTTGTCGCTCTTCTGTGCTCTGGCTCCATTGCCCTTTTGGTAGAGCTCTTTCTTGCCGAGGTAATTTTTTCATCATTAGTTGCCCCTAATCAGCTCTGACCAGCATGACGACAACATGACATTTTTGGTATTTTATATCCATTACTTCCTTGGGAGACAGAAACGACAGACGTGTGTGTGCATGTCTTGTCCTTCATGCAAAATTTAAATGGTCCTTATCTTTTTCAAGAAGACTTGGACTCTTTTTTTTCTTCGCTATTCCTTTGCTACTTTCACCTACTCAGTTGTGCAAATTCGTTCATTTCTACTTCCATTCGGTTGGGATCACTCTTTTCAATTTAATTTCTACTGATTTCGCTTCTTGGATTGGAGGAAGATCTCTACACATTTTCTATGGTTTTTCACAATCCCTCAACTGGTATTCTTCTTTAAAAGTTTTTCAAGTCTGCTCTGATCTTCCTTGTGTTA